TTTTTTTATTGAATTCCAGCTTTGATTTCATGAGCCTTGAAATCAATATGATCTAATTGATTAAACGCTGCAATCAATAAAACTACAACCTTATTGATTACAATCAATAAGCGATTCTCAGGGCAGGAGAGCGTCTGGCAGGCCTCGGAAGCCTGAGGGAGCTGGTCCGCAGAAGCGGCAAGCAGAGATGCCTCTGGCAGTGCAAGCAAAGATTCTGAAGCGAATGGAGTCAGAGCTGCCTGCTTTTGCTTCTGAACAGGACTTCTCTGCAGCCATGAGCAGGAAGCTGGCCATGGACCGGAAGGCTCTGAAGAAGCTCTGGCAAAGAAAAGACAAGGTTCTGGAACAGCAGTCTCAACGGAACCACTCTCTGCAGCCCGGCAAACACCTGGCTGGCAAGTCTGGTGTCCGCCCTGCGAAGGGGCAGAAGAACTCAGGCCGTGGCTGGCGTCTGAGTGGAGGCGGCAAGAAGTCTGCCTTCCCTGGTGTGCAGAAGGCGGGCGTGGTTCGAGGAAGCCCGTGCACACGGGCACTCTGTGAAGAAGCGCCACCTTCTGTCGCAGTGGCAGCTTCTGCTCAGCTCTGAGTTGGTGAAACTGAAGTCTGCGAAGGAGGCAGCCACGGACTCCTTTGAGCGGGCACGTCTGGATCAAAAGATCTCTGAGGGAGAGAAGCAGCTGCAGAGCTCTGCGAAAGATGCTGGCAAGAACCGTCTGAAGCTGCTGCTGAAGGACGTTGGTGCCAAGAATCTGATGCCAGATCTGAAGACGAAGCTCTCTGAAGCAGAGGAACAGGTCTCTGCCAAGCTGACCTACCAGAGTCTGGACCACACTCTGCACCTGGCCTGCTTCGCTCCTCTGGAGGACCTGTCTGCTCGTGTTGCTAAACCTCTGGAGTTCAGACAGAACCTCGGTGGTCTGGTCGTTGTCTGCTCCGACCAGATCCCTCTGTGGATCAAGGCGGGGTCTGAGCGGGAGCTCTTTGCTGACTGGGAGCACAGGCCTCTGCCCCAGCAGCATCTGCGACAGAGACTGAGAGACCACCATCTGGCAAGTTCTGACCAGATCTCAGCCTCTGGCGATGTCTCTGGTCCCGTTAGACCTCTGCTAGAAGCTGTCAAACCGTCTGCAAAAGCAGCTAGTGGCTCTGGACAAAGACAGAAGCGGGCCTTTGTGGATGCGGACTCTGTGAGGTACCGTGTCACCTACGAGGCCAGGCAAGCTCTGTACGGCCTCTGCAAAGACCCTGGCCCTGACGGAGAGCCAGAACTCAGCGGCCGAGTTCTGCCTGGACTGCTGGTGGTGCACGGCACGCACGCTCGTCTGGACAACATCGACAGCTCTGGTCGGTTTCTGAAAGACGAGAGCTTCGAGTTTGCTGGCAAGCTCGTCTGCCGCAAGGCAGGCTCTTCGGCAGGGAATCTGCTTCGTGGCTGGCGACAGGCAAGGGACCAGGCTCCGCATCTGTTCAGGCAGATCTGCGTAATGTCGCAACCCTCTGCCAACGTCGATGGGATAATTTTCGCCTGGTCCCAGGAAAGTCTGGCTGCTCTAGCACCTGCCTCTGTGCATGTTCGCGACTGTTTCGCCGCAGCCTGGTCGGCTTCTGCTGCCGAGTCTCTGTTCTATGCCCAGTCTCTGCAGACGATCATAGGACCGAAACTCACGGCCAGTCTGCAACTCACTGACACGGACTTCTCGCGGGCCTTCAAATCTCTGGCCAGGGCGGCCATGGACAAGCTCCAGCCGCCTCTCTGCATCTGCCTCTGTAATTAGACCAGAGTAAGTGCAGAACTCCACCCTTCATCCTGCTTGCAGGCACTCTGGTCAGACCGCTCTGTTAGCTGCCGGCGAGAAGGAGTTCTGGAGAGCGAGCCATCTGGACATGGCGAAGGCTGTTGTTGAGGCTCAATCCGAGATGTCTCGGCGACAAGCCAGCAACGACTGGATCGTGTCTGGTTTACGCCGCAACGGTCTGCTAGCTTACAGACCGGACTTCTCCAAGCAGACCCTGGTTCCCCTGTCAGACTCAGAGTGCTGCGGCACTGGCATGGGCCGCTCTGCTCGCCTTGATGGTTCTGCATGCATGTACGTAATTCTGCTGCTTTAAGGAACCGTTTGCCAACCGAGGTTCTGCAAGGACAAAGCCCAGCTGGCTGGAGGACCGCTTCTCCTGGCGGGATGCATCTGGCACTCCCGTGAAGCCCGACTGGTCTGCTCTGCAGGGAGCCAAGGTCATCGCGGATCTGGTGGAGTGGAGCTACCACCACTCTGAGTCGCAGGACGAGGGTCTGGAGAGCCAGGTGTCTGAGGCCATGCTCAATGTGCATGAGATGCCTCTGGATCTGCAGCTTCCCTGCATCGAGTCTGGCATCCTGACCCTGTCTCTGGACTTGCAGCGGACAGCCTGGCAGAAGCAGCTTTCTGCAGATGCAAAGCTTCTGCAGAAGAAAGCTGTCAAGCGAGACGTGAAGCTGATGGTCTCTCTGGCCAAGCGGAAGCTGCGAGGCAAGCTTCTGGAGGCCATGCGGCATCGTCTGACGCAGATGTCTCGGCAGCAGGCTCTGCAGCGTCTGGTGCCCAGAGCCTCTGACGTGAAGCCCTCTCTGGTGAAGAAGGCAGGTCTGAAGCACCAGAAGAAGATGGCTCTGGGGAAGGCTGCCAAGGCTCTGGCGAAGGCCAAGGCTCTGGCGGACAAGCCCTCAGCAGACTCTGCTGTGGTGCCAAGCTCTGCCCCGTCTGACCCCGTGTCTCAGAAGGCCTCTGAGTTCAATCAGGCGAACAAGTGCCCTCTGTACGGCCGAGTCTGTCGGATTCTGCGAGAGGACAGCAACTGTGGCAAGTCTGGCAAGTGCACTCTGCACAACTTGCTGACCAATGAGGTCTCTCTGATTGGCCGCTTAGTTGCACTTATCTGTCTGCCGTAGTGCACATGCTAGTACTTCTGTTTGCCTCTGCACTCAGGTGTTGGAGATGCCTCTGCCACGGTGCTCCTCTCTGACAAGGAGGTCTGCGAACTGGATCCACTCTGGAAGTCTGCGAAGAAGTGGAAGAATCTGCGGCTGAAGAGGGATCTGAAGCAGATGGTTCTGCGAGCCTGCGGAGGCTCTAGCCTCTTTCTGGAGGCAGTTGGCGAGTTCTTTGCCGCGGAGCCTCTGGAACTTCTGGTTTTCAAGAAGTCTTTCCCGCAGATGCTTCTGGATCAGCATCTGCGGTACGCCTGGGAGCTTCTGAGGTTCAATTTCTCTGAACCTGGCACGAACTGGTTCATGGAGAACAAGGTCTGCCTCCTGGACCCCAAGCTCTCTGCCGAGGTTCTGGCGGGAGAGCACCCACGGCCGGACCTTCTGCAGGCTGCTCTGGATCGACTCTGTTCTGAGAACAAGGTGATCTTCGCGCCAATCTGGGGGCAAGCTCCGCAGCACTGGACTCTTCTGGTCCTGCAGCGACAGGACCTCTCCGAGAACTTTTCTGTGAAGTACCTGGACAGCCTCTCTGAGAAGCACGAGAACTGCTCTGTGAACGCCGCGAGACTTCTGTCCCTGATCCTGCCCACGGAGGTTCTGCCCGAAAGAAGCCCCTCTGGCACCCAGAAGGCGGATGAATGCGGTTTCTGGGTTCTGGCCAACATGTTGAGCATCTGCTCGGGCCTCAATCTGGAAGGTCCCTCTGCTCGTGGATCTCGCGGAAAGCTGGTTCTGGAGCTCATGTCTGAGCTGAAAGGCTGGCTTGTGCAGCTCTCTGGCGAGCAGGCCAAGCTGGCGAAGGATCTGGCGACCAGGCAGAAGGATCTGGACAAGACTCTGAAGGCGAACCGTCTGCGGACGGAGAAGCTGGTCGCCAAGTCTGGCCACGAGTCTGAAGTTCACCTGGGCCTCGTCCAGCTGGCTAAAGATCTGCTGGCTCTGGGCAAAGAGCCTGAAGCTTCTGATCTGTCTCTGGAGGACAAAGCTCGTGTGGAGCAGGTCCGTCTGTCTGGCCTGGGCGTCTGTTCAAGGTGCCACTGGCAGTCAGGCTGTCTGGACTGTGATCCGAAGAAGCTGGAGAGGTATCTGCTCAACAAGCTGCGACTGGAGCTAGGTCTGCCGCCAAAGCCTGCGTCTGCGTGAAGTCTACTGTTTCACAGCTCTCTGGAAGCCTGGGAACCTGCAGTAAGGGTCTGTGCCGAGTGTCTGCTTCTAACTAATTAATTAGTTAGCAACATCTGCCGGAAGTCTCTGAAGCGAAGCAGCTCTCCCAGCTTGGAGCTCCTGGGACATCGGATCTGCTCTGCTTGAACAAAAAGAGTCTGGCACTGCAGTCTGTGAGCATGAGCCCTGTCTGCGGAACTGCACTCTGATGCCTGTGTTTAAGGTCCTGTTAGTTTTAGCTTTTCTTAATTAGTTTCTTAGTCTGCTACCTGTTTTTTTTC